GGATATGGCGCGGCCCTAGGTGCGTGTGCGTCAGGTGACAGACCAGTTTGTGCAGGCTCCTGCACCAGGTTTAATGCAAACAACTTAACTACTGCTGTGTGCGGTATGTTTGTGACAAGATCCGCAAGATGTTCGTTTCCATATTGATTGTACGCTATACTGGCCATTTATATAGAGTAAATTTTGGTTTGAATAAAATAGAGAAAATTTTGTGTGTAAGAGTTTAGGTACACGAAGGCGAATGGCCGCTTAACGCCATGCAGCGAGGAGTAGAAATGCCAGCGGGGAATTCCAGATCGAAGGCGCGTCCATCTGTCATGCCCCATTGCCTGAGACACTGCAGCAGGACTGTTTCCCTATTCTTCTGCTTAAAGTACTTGTTGAACCCCTTTAAAAAAAAAAAACAAAAAAAAAACTGCAAACGTGATTGGACGCTCGCTTAAGCCGCCCGGCCTTGTAACGCTACACCTGAGCTTGCGCTCGCGCTCCTCGCCGCCGGCCGAGCTTACCTCTTCGCTCGCCTGTCCTCCCAGTGAGAACCGAAGCCGTGAAGAGAAAAACAAATAAGTGAGAGAACGTGCCCCCCCCCCCCTCGTTTTCCTCCATCCACGTTTCTTACGTGACCACGCCCCTCCGCCCGCTCCTCTCCGTTGCCGCGCCCGTGCTAGAGCCGCTCTGCTGCGCCCTGTTCTCATGGTTCCCATTCACCTGGCCGGGCCGGGCGGGTCGCGCTGCGCTAGAACCGCTAGAGCTCGGGCATGTCTCCCCCGCCCCGCCCCGCCCGTCTAGCCTTGGTCTAGTCCGCCCGAGGCGACCTCCTGCACGCGTCTGAGCGCCCGGGAACATCCATCCGGCTTCCTTTTTATTTTTATTTTTTTTCCTTACGGAAAAATGACAATAAGATTGGATTTCTGCTGTCCTCGGCTGTAATAATTTATTTATTTAGTACTAGTAGTGTACTCGGTAGGTTCTTCATTGTACCAATTTGTACTGCGTTGTAACGCCACTGCCAGAGATGCTACTGCCACTGTCTTATCAGAATATTTCCTGTTGCCACGGAAATGAGTCGATCCGTCAGCATCGTATTTCGTTTTCTTCCTGGGAGTGAAATTTTCGCATTCGCGACCAAGCATTGCCTGCAATGAGCTGAGGGAATGATTTTTTCTTAAAAGAAAAATCATCTTCCAGGATCAGTAGTTATCCTGATACTGTTGAAAGTTTGTTGAAGTACAAGACTGGGATATTAATGAGATTGCATGATTAATCAATTTAAGTGTACTTAGCTCATTTGAGGTGCGCTGACTGAAATGTCACACATAAAGCAACTTATATAATCATAGCCCTTGTGTTTTTGTAGCCACTATTTGTATGGACTTCTGTCCCTCTTTAAATGTTTGGTGACCTATAGATCACACCCAATTATTTTGAACCAATTACGATATTGGTAAAAAGACAAAATGAGTGTTCAAAATTATTTTATGTAGTAAGGCTGAGCTCAGGTGGCATCAAACAAGTCTCAGATTATAAGTAATAATGTAAGCTAGCCAGTAATTAAATAGCTGGCTCAATTTACTTTTCTGTGCATGTACAACAGCAAGGTACAAGAGCTGTATTGTCAATAGAAATATTATTTATTTGTTTTTGTAGCATAATACGCTTCATATTTTTATACTTTCCTGAGTCTTTCCCTTCAAAATTTTCTTTCTTCATTCCATTAAGAGCTTTTAAAATTTTTAAGAG